TTTATGAACATCAGAAAAATTGCCTATTATTTTCTCATACCTATTGTTCTTATCAGGAACATTATTTGATGCCTTCTTTGTTACATTATGATGGACTACTGTAGTACCTATTTTAATAGACATTTGGCCTTGAGTTGTCCCCTTGTTAAGGTCTTATAAAGAGTGCATAAATCTGTATAAATGTATAACAAAGCAAGTATGCAAGAAATGGAACAGATAGAGGGAAGTAGCATGTGGAATACTATGTATAGACACAGATATCCTTGAACCTGTTCTCTGTAATGCATTTGTACTTCTAGTCCTAAACTCCCTTACTCTGATACGTACAAAATCATGAGGTTGCAACAATAGGTAAGCAATCGAAAAGAAAAGAAAAACATCAAAAACAAAAAGGCTGCACCATCTAAACATGATCTTCACTAGACCCACTTGCACCATTGACGCCTTGCAGATGCTTTCTGGCAGCCTCTGACCTTTTCCTCTTCAACACAACAACCCATGTATAAGCTTCTAAGAGAACAGAAATGAAAGCCGAAGCCACATTGATACCAATGTAAGCATTCTTCCACTTCTTTTCGGGATTCAGGATATCAAATCCATTGAATATGCTGATGATGCTGAGAATGATGACTGTGTATCCTACCAAATGATGGTAGATGTTCCAGTACACTCCAAACTTGTGATCCAGTTTTGGCCTCAAAAGCAAAGCAAATACCTGAAAACCCGAATCAGAATCTCTGTTCAAACTCTGTTAACATTAACATTGATGTATTGATGAGAACTTATTATAGCACCTGAAGCATTGCAAGGCCAAAGAGTGTGGTACCAATATTTCTGTGAGAAGTGTACTGAATTCCTGCAGACTCACTACTGAGTTTTTGAGTTGCCCGGCACCAATGGCACAGGCCGAGAATTGGCAGGAAACATGGAGATAAAAGCAGGCAAGATCAGCGGATTTGGGGCAGGTTTGAGTACCACTCAGAGTGTTAAGGCCATCAAAAATTGTAAAATATTATTTTTTAAAATTTTAATTTTGTTTAATTTAATTGATAAAAATAACTAATAACTATAACTATTAAATAATATTGATAAAAAAATTTATATCTTATTAGTTAACAAATTAAAATTAGTCAATAAACTAATATTTTCTAATATTGTTTAAAAAAAATTGAAAAATCAATGACCTTAATAATTTTTGTTGTAGCAATAACCATGCCCGAGTTTGAAAACCTTCAGACCTTGCCATTGTGGCACCGAGAGGCATCAAAATACCCCAACTCAATGTGTTCAGCACTCCACGAATCTGCAATTCCATTACACTTACAGATCACAAAGCTGAGGACCTCAATTTTGTCAATTAAAAATTTTACTTTAAAATAAAAAATCACAATCATTGTTTAATAATTATTCCTTTTTACATGTCTTAAATGTATAGAATGGACAAGCCTTAAATAATACTCACTTTATTCAATTTACTTATTTTAATTTGATTTTTAAATAAATTTCATAAAATAACTTTTTATAATAAATAACTGATAATTAAAATTTTATATATATAAATTTATATTTTTACTTACTAAATAAAAACTTTTAAATTATTATTTATTTATTGTATAAAATCATCAAATTAATTTATATAAAATTAAGAATTAAAACAACTAAAAAAAATCAGAGGGCATAGTACGTATATAAAGGAAATTACGAGATTTCCCTGACTGCCGCTCTTAAGTCCCAACCCATCACCATTGATTTGTCCTCTATTGCCGACGCATCATTTCATTGCCCACACCGCTGGTAATTTTATTTTGATTAAAACATCTCTTTTTATTACTGATAGACTTATACTAAAACTTGTACATTTTGTTTATATAAAATTTGAATTATTTATTTATTTATTTTTAATAATTAAGAATTATTCATATTTATTAAAAATAATTATCTTTTTATCTAAATAGTGGCTATAAATCTTAAATATTGAAAGTAAAATGATAAATAATTAAAACTTTGTATAGATATGATATATAAAATTTATGCATAAATAAGTCCCTCCTTATTATACTTATACATTATTCATATTAGAAACATGTCTCTTCTTCTTCATAATTTTTCCCTCAACTATTGGGTTTGTACATTTTTTTCAAATTATATGTGGATATCTCGCTATCAACGGACATATTGATTAAAAAAGTGTATATTTCTAAGTTAAGGGACTAACAAATTACAAAAATTACTTAGGAACCAAAAAAGTATATCAAGAAAAGTTTAAGGACCAAAAATAAACATTACAAAAGTAGGAGACTTAATTTCATGATCAGATCCAAGCTTCACTTGCACTAAAAAGCTTATACAAGCAAAACTCCCAATAAAAAAAACTTATACAAACACAATAAAACTTATCTACACAATAGATTTTCATGGTACATGATTGGTAAACAATACTAAAACTCATACAAGGTAGTTCTAGGACACCTTTTTTTTATTGGATAATAATCGATTATGCAAACAACATCTAGATAGGAATATTAATTAATTCACCCAAGCAAGGCTGCCTTGGGGGTAGGTTAGGCAGGGATTGAAATTGAGGAGTCCGATTTGGTTCAACCTATTAAGGGTCTCCTCTGTAAGCCCCTCAGGGTTGTGATGATTTACCATTGCATGACATCTAGGCACCGTAAATTATGTTAGGATAAGAGAAGCGTCAAAGTTAAGTTTTGACTTTTCGTTGCTGGAATCTAGCAATTATATTACCAGACGACAAGCAGTCAAGGTAAAGTCATTGTCAATCATTGCCTTCACATATCTTTGATATCTACTTGGGTTGCATGTTTTTGCTATGTGCATTTGGTTTAAACTTTTAAGCCTTCCTTGCTAAGAACTTTTTCCAATTTTATTTTACCAATACAGTTATTGGGAAATATATTATTGGACCGATCAAACTCAGCTGTAATGACAAGATGTGTGAGCTCAAGGGATAATTTAAGGATTCTTATAAACCTTTTAAGAGTATGATACCTTCTCACATTTCTTGATTTCATATGTCAATATCTAAATGTTTTTTGAAGTTCAACCCTACTCTCTCTGTCTTCGTTAACCACTAAATGGTTGATTCATTACTTCACAGGAGTCAAGCAAGAGTATCCAGATCGAAGCTTTTCATGTTTTCAAGGTATGATGCTTAAATTAGTTTCTACACTAACCTGGACATTTGATATTTGGTTATTTACATTGTAACCCACATTTTTCTACAGCTATATACAGCCAATCAGAATAAACCTCCCGATGTTGTTAGCATACTCGTTGCCAATAGAAGCAAGCTTCTACGTTTGTTTGCTGATTTCAAGACCGATAAAGGTACCAATAAAAACGCATTGCTCTCAAATTTTCCCAGGCTCTACACTTTATTCATTGATAGTTTTGTGATTTCATTGTTGCAGAGGATGAACCCTTCGAGGCAGACAAAGCCCAAGTCGTAAAAGAAATCGCAGCCCTTGAGCCCAAGGACCGTGCATGATTGTCTGCTATATAGTCCTGGTTGTTTGTTTTACCTTTGAAAATGATCTGTGAATCATATGGCAAGCACATTCCATGTAGTCAATTATAAACCTTGTGGAAGAGGGAAATGATAAAATAATACATCACGAGTTTGTTTGTAGCGACTTTGATTTTGGACATAGATGAAAGAGACTAATTGGGCTATGGTTGCTTTCTGAATCAGGAAATTGTTTTTGTCCTCTTAACCTCTGCTGTGCAAAGCTTTGTCCTCAGGCTCTAAAGTCTTGGTATGATTTAATATGAAAAGAACTCGAAGTCGCAATGCGAAGCTTGGCAGGATGCAATAGACCGACCCCACATGTTTAGAAATTAAAAGAATCGCCTTCAGAAGGGACATTTACTGTTTTTCAAGGACAAAATCTTGGTCCTACGAGAGTTTTACAGAAAGCGCTAATGATGAAAGAAGAATATGAACAAGCCACTGTGAAGAACGTGCATGTATCCTTACTGCAAGGATCTAATGAGCAACCTACAGAAAAATGGACCCCTCCAGCAGAGTTGGCAGTTAAGATTAACTCTGATGCTGCAGTTTCTCTCTATTCTGATAGAGCAGGGATGGCAGTTGTTTGTAGGGATTCTAGAGGCTTTCTTCATGATGGCCTAACTTTCAAACAAGCTGTTGCATCAGTTTTGATGGCAGAAGCTTTAGCTCTTCGTGCTGCAATAGGTTTGACAGTTTCTAATCGAATGCAAAAAGTTATTTTTGAGTCAGATTGTAGAACTCTGATACAGGTACTGAACAAGGAACTCTCAGTGCCTTGGCAAATTGCACCAATAGTACAATCAATTTGGATGCGTGCTGCTAGTTTTGATTTGTGTAAGTTAATTTGTCTATGTACCAAGGAGAGTTAATAGGGTGGCAGACAAGGTTGCTAAGTACACTTTAAATGGTCATTGTCCAACCTATTGGGTGCAATTTCCGCTACTAGATCTTTGTAACTTACTGTACCTGGATGCTTATTCATGAGATGCTAATATAACTTGAGTTCAAAAAAAAAAATTCTTGGAATAGTTATGATCGCACAAATTTGGAATTTTTTTGTACTTTGAACATTTAATTATAATGTCTAAAAATATCAATATGTAAATTGATTTTAATTTTTATTAATTAATAAATATTGA